TGACCACCGTAAAGGGTAAAAAAGCTGACGTTTCGAACGTTAGCCCTTCGTCAGGGCGATTGACGGAAGGCTAACGCTCGAAACGTCAGCTTTTTTACCCTTTACGGTGGCCAATTTACGTTTCCAACTCAGTTGTTAACTCTAAATTACCTAATATGATATGCACCTATCAAAGATTAGTAGACATGAAGAAAATCTGTCATGTTACGGGCAAACTGCTGACCATGACACCGCAGATTGAAAATGGTAAAACAACACCGCTGTCCATTCCAGACCTTTACTATTGTGCAAGAAACTGTCGAAGTCTTATCTTGTTGCCTCAGTGATTAAGAGTTGAAGGAAGAAGCGCAACGCTTTCTTATTATTTAGGAGAAAAATTACAATGCTCAAGAGATTTTTGAATTTTTGGGATTAACTGCAAAGGAGGTGATGGAGAACGCCCTTACGTGGATTTGACGTAGATATAATACCTGCACAGCTCGGAGTTCTCCCGTCCAAGGACACCCAACATGAGGGCATTTCACCTTGAGATCCAGAATTTTGCGATGACAAGCGACATCTGGAAATATCTGACAACCCAGACACAAGCATATTCACGGGTAATACATTCTAATCAGGTTACACTGATGTCAACAAGATAATGCTTAATTACGATCTTTCACTCTTCAACGAAGGCGTGGAGGACTTGAAACAAGATATAAAGAGAATGAGATCTTCAGCAAGAAAAAAAGAATACGGTCAGTTTTTCCTTGTAGCATAACAGGAATGGGCAGTTTTTAAATGGACTAGCGGTATTAAAATAAAACTATAATGCAATATTACAAGATGGATTTCCCAATTCTTCAGCTTCTACGCAATATTTTCTGGCTGAATTTACATGGCCAGAGCTTTTTTTCCGATTCAAACCACGGGCATATGTTTTGTACTCTACTTGAAGATAATTAAGAAATGAAACGCACTTTCTATCGGCTTACCGGCGTAATAACCCACGCAGGATGTAGGAAGAACCTCCGCCAGCTCGTGATTTACAAACCTTTCACGTGTTCTTCCAATATCCCGAGTAAGTTGTTAAGCTGTTAGACCAATAGAAATGGAGTCTAATGCTTCCAAATTACCTTCAATTTTCTGTGGTTTTTACCCTCCGGAAAACGCCGAATTGCGCACCATGCCGAAGGGAGTAAGACGCTTAAATTGTGACTGATTATGCAATCGGAACCATGTGGTTACTCAATATTTCTCACGCAAGATGCGGCTTCGTCGAGTTGCTCTCGCAGCAAAGGCTGTCCTTTTGGTGACACACTTTGTTTGGTGCTGAATTCTTGTCTAATCTTTTGGCTACTCGTTCTACAAATATTCAAAACAGCCCACAGGACGCTTACATCCCCAATTGTAACGTTGCGTAAATTGAGTACAGCGGGTCTCCTAATTCTTAACATTAGGAATGTCAGGTTGGGAAAATGGTAAGAGTCAATGGAATATAAATTGAATGCGTAATACCCATCACTACCACGTTGTAATCACACATCAGTGGTAATGTGTGATTTCAAACAAAAGTTATGAAAACCTCGGTTTTGGTAAAAACGATCTGCGATTGCTGATTATCAAGAGCGCTTACAAAAATATCGAAATTACGAGATAGAACCATTCGTAACTTGTTGCTTCAGTTGCAAAATCCTTCGCTATGTCCCCATATAAAGATGTCAAAACTTAAAATAAGAGACAATGTAAGAGCTCAACTATTTGAGTTTTAACCTCAAAACGTGTAACTTTATATCAAGTAAGGCAAGCTTTATTATTCCCAGCTGTCAGATGTGCTGACGAATAAGAATAAAAATATTACAACGGTAACAGATTGTCAGAGAAAAGGGCTAAAGAGTTCTAAAATAGGATAGAAAATCCACAGATCAGCTGTCTGTATCGAGTGCGAAAAGGGTGCGAGACTTGAGTTCAATCTTGATTAACATATACACTTTCTGTGCGTGCCCAAATTAGTACCAAACTTGAGGCAATCTTACTTGATGTTTGCGTTTTCTGTGCGTGTCGAATAGAGAATGAGACTTGTAGTCAACCTTAATTGACATGTGCGTTTTCTGAGCGCGCTGAACAGAGTGCGAGAAGTCATTATCACTTGACATGTGCGTTTCGTGCGTGCCGAATAGAGTGCGGGACTTCAGGTGATATTACTTGACATGTACGTTTTCTGTGTGAGCTGAATATAGTGCGAAACTTGAAGCAATTTTATTTGACATGTGCGTTTCTGTGCGTGCCGAATAGGGTGCGAGTGTTGTAGTCAATCTCTCTTGATATGTGCGTTGTTTTGCGTGTCGATTCGAGTACGAGGCCTTGACGTCAGCCGTACTTAATATGTGCGTTTTATGTGCGTGCCAAATAAAGCACAAGACTTGAATTTAATCTTACTAAACATGTGCGTTTTAAGCGTACCTAATAGAGTGCGAGTTTGTAGACAATCTCACCGAGACTTGAGGAAATCTCGCTTGACATAGCCGTTTCTGTGCGTGTCGAAAAGAGTGCGAGACGCATTCAATCTTAATTGTCATATGCAATTCTGTGCGTACCGAATAGAGTACGAGTGCTGTAGTAAATCTCATTAGAAATATGCGTATCTGTAGGTGCCGAACAGAGCATGAGACTTGAAGTCCGCCTTACTTAACATGTATGTTTTGTTTGCGTGCCGAATAGAAAGCAATACTTGTAGTCAATCTCACTTGATATGTGCGTTTCGTGCGTGCCGAATAGAGTACGTGTGTTGTAGTCAATTTTGCTTGACATATGTGTTTTTATGCGTGCTGAATAGAGCGTAAATTTTGAGGCAATAGCACTTGGCATATGCGTTTTTCTGAGAGTGCTTAAGAGAGTGCGAGACTTGAAGTCAATCTTATATGACATATGCACTTTCTGAGCGTGCCGAGTAGAGTGCGAGACTTGAAGTCAACTTACTTGAAATGTGCGTTTTCTGTGCGTGGTAAATAGTGTGCGAAACTTGAGACCATCTTACTTAACATCTGTGTTTTCTGAGCGTGCCGAATGGAATGCAAGACTTGAAGTCAATCTTACTTGACATGTGCGTTTTCTGTGCGTGTTGAATAGTGTGAAATCAGTAGTTAGGTCTAATGACTGGAGGGTGTGGTGCGAGTTTTTCTAAAAACAATGAAGAGCAACTCTGATAAGCTCAAACAGAGCAAAACAAGACTCCAAAGGAAGGGTTCAATGTTACGTGGAATACAAAAACAAAGATTTGGTGTTGATTGCAAATAGGAACCGAACTTGGTATTAATAAAGTATTGTTAACGTGCGAAGAATTTAGTGTGATCACCTTTCATCACGCAACGTTATGTAAGTATCAGTAAAATATAATCATTTGTCCATGTTTCTTAGGTTGGGTTAAGTTAATTAATGGAGTATTTGTGTATTTAGCGAAAAGTTTCTTCACGTTCTTTTTAAAACTTTGTTCTTTGCTTAAACACAAAAAAGAGCGGTAGCGATATGTGTGCGCTACATCGAGAGAAATCGAACTTTCGGTTAAACTGATGATTTTCCTTTAACAGATATATTTTGGAGGTAATCGCCAAGGAAGCGATAAAGTTCCTATTCATGGAACAGGAAAACTGTGACTATGATATAGCTGTGGGTAAAGCGTTACGTGAGGACAAGGCGTTAAACACCATTAGAATGAGCCGCTATCAAAATAACATTCATATGTGGCAGTTAAAAAAGTGAGAGGTAGATTCGAATATCATATCAAACGAAGAGATTTGTGGAGACAACTCTTCAAACAAAAAGATATGATGACGTCGCTTGCCTGGCGATGGTATTTCTAAAGATATGGTCACGGTGATACTCGCAATAAAGCAGAATCTTCTCGCATCCTGATAAGTTCCTTGCTCGTTTTGAAAAAAAATATGCGAAGAGGATCGCCCGCAAATAACTTGCGGGATTCTTATTATATCTAACCAGTTCAAGTCAGTACCATACGCAAATTTCTTTTAGGTTCACAAGTAGTTTCTTTATCGGCTATCACATTCTTCACATATTCTAACATTTGTCAACTTTGGAGAATATTTCTCTGTTATCTTCTCATAATATTTGTTTTATCTCTCCCTTGAAAGCTTATGTCGATTACTTTACAAAGCCATTTGTTACAATAAGTAACATTTTCATTAAAGAACCTTGTTGTTGTCCTTATTCTGTTGGAAAAATTGTCGCTACCTAAATTTAAATAACGCAAATGGTGTATCGGTTAACAGGGTAAGAATTAGGAGACCCGCGGCACTAAATTCACGCAACGTTACACTTGGGGATATATGCGTCTTGTGCGCTGTTTTGACTTTTTGTAAAACGAGTAACCTAAAGGTTAGACAAGAATTCAGCGCCAAACAAACTCTGTCACCAAATGGACAGCGTTTACAGCGAGAGCAATTCGACGAAGCCGTATCATGCGTCACAATTATGCATGGCTTCAATGGCATAATCAGTGATAATTTATGCGTCGTGCTCTATTCGGCATTTTACACGCCACTCACTTAACAGAAACTGCGCTTCGAGTTTGGAGTTAAAATGCCTAAGGATCTGTTCACCGAGAGCAGAACGTGGCATTGTTAGTTTGTGTGACCCACACGGATGAAGACACGCGATATCATTACCTTGTCACGTAAAAGAGGCTGTCTGTCAACTGGACATTTTGGAGAATCGTTCCTGAAGGAAGAAAATTTGCAAGAACAAACAAACAAAAAATCAGAAAACAAACAAAACCTTAAGAAATCGTTCATCGCGTATATCATTTACTCTTTTCATTTGCGTGTTTCATCCCTTGGTCATACTCTGCTGCGTAAAGAATCCATAATAGTGGACTTATTGCATATAATTAACATTTGCATTAGGAAGACAAATTATAAAAAGTTTAAGTCGATCCATGTTTAACAAAGTAAACAAGAAAGATCATATCATTCGATGACTCTGTTAGATGCACTGGTGCTGAAGCAATCGAAGACACTTAAAAGGCAGCCAGCCACTATTTGATGAAATATTTGATAGCTTTCAGTCGCATTCATAAGTACTCACAGTGACCTCGAACCTGTTTGAATTGTTTTATGCCGCATAAAGCTATCTAGCAGTTACTTATATATGGCTGAGACACACTATGATACC